GAAAGGCACTAAAAGTGATTCTATAATTAATAATTATTTAATTTTAAGTCATTTTGTTTAGTTAAACTTTATGAATTGTTATATTAAAATCGCGAAATATTTGCAGATTTTTGGGATTTTTATTTTTTTCTTAAAAAACCTAGCTGGCAAAAGTTGTTTAATTTCTTTGCTTGATGTGCCAGTAAGAAAGAATTGCAAGCAAGATAAATATGAATATGATGGATGCGTTTATAATAGAGATGAACCTTTGCACTCGGTTTGCTCATCAACGTTCTTCAACACGTTTGATGCATTTTTACTCATTTAGAGTTGAAGAAATTGAAAAATTCTCAATTTCAGGTTGTTGAAAAGCAAATTTCAAAACAATCACTCGACTACATTCTTTATAATAAATCAATCTAAAGATTTTTTGACCTTTTCATCGTATTTTTCCTGTCCCCTTTCTTCCATTTCCTGTTTAAAAAACAATTTCACAATGTTAAGACATGTATATAGTTAAAGCTCATTCCACTATAAATCTATTCTTGATTTCTTTCGCGAAAAATAAGACATTCTCGCACTCAATCCAATAAAAATGGCAAGAGAGATAAAAGGAGCACAACGAAATTCCAATAGGACATACTTCGGCATAAAATAAAGAACATTTAATTCAAATTGTACAAAAAAGTAAACAGAAGCAACGAAACCAGATATTGAAAGTTTATATCATAATATTGCTCTTTTACAATCAGACCCGACAACAATCGGACAGCAAAGTATGCTATACAGTATGCTTTTGTATTTTATCGTTTATTGCTGCTGCTGTGTCTTGCGGAATTCTATAAATACAGGACAAGAAGAAGATATTGTTGAGAGAATAAGACAGTTTCTTGTAATCATAGGATTGTAGCGCACTTTTATTTTCGCAAATTGAGATTTTTTTTAATTGAATGAGATTATAATTCTCTTAATGATTTTAATAAATTTTTAAACAATTACTTTTTTTGAAAGAAAATTGATTGCAAGTCAGAAATATGATTTTGTGGTCACACTGGACAAAATGTAAATATAATTTCCAGTGTTATTTTCGGGTGAAAATTAATGCTTTATATGAGAAATATTGAACATGTTTCTGTGATTTTTTCAGATTTTTTGTCAAATGTGCGGTTCTCTTCAAAAGCAAATATGTTTGTAAAAAGAAAGATAGAAAAATTTAACGTACTTGATTCATTTTTTACTTTTTCATCGCACTGAGAAATGTTTGTTCTGTATTATGCATCAACGCTTTTGTTAAAGATAAATAATTGCAAAATTTTTGATGGGAAAATTAAGTTATTTTTTAAGTTCTATAAAAATGAGAAACTTTTCTACAGTTTAAAGTTCATTTTTGTTTATTTCTTTTTGATTTTAATTATTATATTATTATATATTAGTAAAAAACTTATTTGTATTTATTGGCATCATGTAAAAATATCATATCTATTTTGATGAAAAGAGAAGAATAAAAAAAGGAAATAAAGATCGTCTACAAGATTTAAACAATGCATAAAGAACATTCTTTTTCCTTACACGTAGAAGCATGTCAAACGATTACAAATGAATGTGCGATAAAGATGTTAAACAATCAATACAGACGATAGTTTTAAATCATTATTAATAATATCAGGAAAATAAAAATCTAAAAATAAAGAAGAACCAGTGTAATTTCTAATAAAATTAAAGTTAAAAAATTTAACTTTTGCTCCTTTTAAATTAATAAAAAAAATATTTTATGTAAAGTTTTAAGTATTAAGAAAATTTGTTGATAACTAGCGTAAAATTTTAAATTGAATTAATTTCTTACCTTAAGTTTTTTAAAAGGAAACATTTACAAATGTTTTATTTATATTATAAAAGTATTCATGCATAAAATGAATGTTCAAGATAAATTCATACATAAATCGACTTACATTTCAACGTATAATATGCTATCGCATAAATTAAATCGGAGTGTAAATTAATATTTCTTTCTTCCAATAATGCTGAGGAATTTAGTGATAACAAAATACATCAGATTATGCTCCAAATGAAGTCAACGAAATATAAGTTTGAAAAATAACATTCGAAGGAAATATGAACTTGTTGAGGCTAAAAAAAAAATCCAACAAAAATATTATTTTTTCTCATAAGAACAGCTTTAGATTAAAAAGACGTAAACTTATGTGAAAACATGCATTAAAAAATTATAGCGAAGTGTTTAACTTCTCATAACCCCTTTTGAATTTCTTATCGTTTTTTTTTATTTATTTTGTTGTGAATAAAGTAAGGCAATAATAAATTAATGAATATTTCACTTTGCTTCTCCTTTTTTTTCTTATTCATAGGAATAAGCATATTTTATTTTTATTTTGGGTGCAACGCATGGCATGCCTTTGTGTATTTGCGTTCCGTTTTTCTTTGGAAAGCAGCAAGAAAAAAAGAATAAATTCTCGTCTTTGGCTTCTGGATATTACCGGCATATTTTTCCTTTCTTATATATGTTCGTTTTCATTTACAAATATTTTCAAGTATTGCTGTATATACGCCGCAATTATTACAAGGTTGCATTAAGATTTCAAGCGACTGATATAAAGAAAAGAAGTTTTATGCAAGTTTTTAGATATCACAACTAATAAATCTTCTCATAATATAAATATATACATACACAGTTCTTTGATTTAATGCATAAAACAAATTGATATTGTATAAAGTATTTGTGGAATAAAGTTTAACAGCATTTTCATGCTTGACACATATACTGTTTGTGCAAAGAAAAAAATTATTTTAACATCAGCCCCACTTAACTAAAACAAAAGCTTATGAGTCACTTGATTTGAGCTTTACATCAATCAATCGTCACTAATCATGAAAAAACAGAATTGTTCATCAATATATCTCGAAGCAGAAATCAAAATGAGTCAATAAAATTAAACAGTACATTTTTAAACATAAAAAAATTAATGACGTCATATAAAGTATCGGATAGTACAATTCTCAAATATTTTATAAAGGTGTATACAGATATACTAAAACTAGTAAAGTTTAAAGTAGAACAATGCTGATGATGACGATAATTCAATTATTCGAACATGAAAATTATTCGAATAAAAAATGGCATTTTCATTGAACTCATCAAAAGTCAATTTTTGTTAAACATTTTTCTATAGAAAAATAACTTCTAAGGCATTTGATTTTGTAAAGAACAAAGAAGAAAGAAAAAAGAAAAAATTAATGCAGGCGATGAGAAAATGCATTATTCAATAAATGTGCATTCAATTTCCAGAGCTGTATTTTGTAATAAAATCTATCTATCTTTATCATATAAATCGCTTCTGAATTTCTTATAGTTTGGTTACGCAAGAGTTGTGAAGCGAAAACTATTATAAATTATCAATAAAATTAATTTTATACACGTTTAGTTCTAAGGGCATCGTCAAATGTTTTTGTTGGTATTTTATTTACTGTATTAATACGTAAGAAGACATTAAAGCATTTCTTAATTAAATTAATATTTTAGTCTCCGAAAAATTCTCTAATGTGGGAGTTTATTATAAATTGATTGGCAATCATTTGACCAGATGCCAAATACAACAACTAAAGAATTGAGTGCAATTTAGTTCAGAGGGATCAAAGAGTTCAAGGCAAGTAAATTGTAAAAGGTCAGTGGGTAAATTGAAGAGGGAAGTAGTGGAAAAGCAATGAGTCGTAACATGATTTCTTTCTTGTAAAATTAATTCATGTCTTTCATACGTTAATTATTTAAATGGTCTTTGTAATATCTATAGATTCTTGAATACTTGTATGTTGTACATCTTATCACAAGACACAGTAAAATTACAGTAAATAATAAATATAAAGAAGAGACCGTTATAATGTGACTAGTATGCAAACGAATATTACTTAATAATAATGAGCCACAATCATCTGACCTTTCTGAGAAAAATGTATTGGTGACAAAACATTTTACTGCTGTATTTGCAAATAATTTGAAATAAGATCATATAGCGTTATCACCAAACGGAAATCATCTTCACTATTCAATATATTCTAGTTGCTTACTTAAGTTATTCCAATCAGCAACAGTGGAATCTTTATAAATATTTATTGCTTTTTAATAGATTCCTTATCCGCAATGTGATGCACCACAAAAGGAATTAGTTGTCTGTTAAAGGCGAAAGTATTTCTCCCTTACATATGATCAATAAAAAGCAATATGAGAACTAAAAACCTGTATTAATGAATTTAAGAGAATAAAAAAAAACTATTGTTTGTGTTGTTTCTGTTGTTTATTGTTTCGCAATACCAGTGTACGTTTATTTTAACAGAATAAAATCATTCACATGTGGAATATGATAAGTTAATTTGCAACAACTTGAAAAACAATAGTCCTAACAGAATGAACATATAAATCAAATTAAAAGTTCTTAATAATATTTTGATTTGATTCTAATTAGGGTATATTGACTTTATCTAAAATAAATAGAGATTTTTTTATTTTAAAAGCAAGTTAATTTACACGCTTTCTTGAGAAAAGGACACTTAAGATAGGAGATAGGACAAGGATAGCAGTGGTACTCAAACTTTTTGTATCAATGAATACTTTACATAGAGAATTTTAAATAAGAATAATTTTAATTTATAATAAATAACTTATTATATTTTCCATTTTTGTTTAAAGCTTTGCAAATTTTGGTTTTTAATGATTTCAAAACATCAAAGATAATTGCTATTCATTTAATCTTAAAAAATACATTTTATTTGATAGCGACATTCAAAGGAGTTAAAAACTCATATTTGTCAAAAAAAAAAATATCGAAACAGATCAGATGCTAAAGGTTACGCGTTTGTATTAGAGTTGTTTTTTTGTTGTAAAAACATTGATTCTGTGAACGTAAGCGATAGACCTTGTAATATTTAATTAAACTTCACGACTAGAAAAAAATACTTTAAAAAAAACTATGTCTATTTTATAAATAAAATTAAAATGTTGCTTCTTTTCAAAGGTAAAAATTTGGTTTCAAAATCGTCGATCGAAGTATAAAAAAATGATGAAAGCTGCTCAAGCACCAGGTGTTGGTGGAATGCCTCTTAGTGGAAACCAAGGAAGCCATAGTCCTTCACATCAGAATCTTCATGGAGGTATTTATAATACTTATTTTGTACTAATAGAGTGAGACTTATCATATTCTTTCTATTTAGGTGGAGGCTCAAATAGTGGATCACCTTCACATTTTCTACCTCCAGGACACAGTCCCACACCCTCAAGTACTCCAGTTTCAGAACTTTCGCCAGGTAACTATTTTATTTATTTCTTTTTTTAAAAAATAATCAAAATGAAAATGAACAAGTTGCGCCATCTTTGTGTGAATTATATAGAATTATAACACAGAAAAGTATATGCGTATCAGCCACAGTCAGAGCCATTTAATTAAACTTGCTTTTTTTTTGACAAAACCGCGATTGCATTTCTGTTTGCTTTTTATACCCTTAAAAATATGCTAGTGAAAATTGCATGATTACACTTTGAAATAGGTTTTTTAGGTGGAAAAACAACAAAAAAAACTTTTGCTTTTTTGTTGAATTCCTTTTAATGTATAGCAATTAGAAGAGGTAAACTTTTTTACTTTCTATAATTACTATTTTTGTACTTCCATTTGTTTGCGATAGCTTACACTAGATAGTGCAATGAATTGAGAACGAGTATATACGATTAAAAGCATCTGCTTCGATAGTAAAATCGATATTTCTGTAATTAAAGTAAATTGAACAGCTGATTGTGCATTCTATTCTTTTCAATGAAAATATTTCTCAACGGTCTATGGTATCGCAAAAACTGAAAGTTTTTTTTCTTTTGCATTTAATAGGTTTAAGTCCTCCATCTGCTCAACAAACAGCACCTTGGGAACAGAAGCCACCACCTTCGCATTGGTCAAATGGACCAAATAATGGAGGGCCAGGTATGGTACCCGGTTCTGTGCCGCAACTTGATCATAAACCTCAAATGGCACCTCAAACACACGTCCCTCCGCAACCAACACATGCTCCACAAATGAGTGGCTATATGCCACAATATTGGTATCAACCGGAAACAAATCCATCATTATTAACGTAAGTTTTCTTTTTACTTATTTATTCATATATTTTGTATTTTTGCTTTTGAATATTTTGCTTACATCGATTTTATGTTCAAAATGAAAATTTTTGGACATAAAATTTGACGTATATTATGATTAATAGTGTTAGATTGAAATCATCTAAAAATTATACAATGAAAAGAAAGAAAAAAAGGTTTGAAAAATATTTCTAACATTCGTTTTTTTCGTTCAATATTTACAGAGTATGGCCAGCAGTTTAAAGATTAAAAAAAATCTTTTATTGGTGTAATCAATTCTAAATTATAACATAACTTTCAAAAATAAAAATCTTGAATAAATTTAGAAATTTAATGAAAGTTTAAGAACTATCTAGATAAAATAATACGAAATGAATTTATTAAAAGCAAAGTAAATATAACTGTAGAGAAAAAAAACTATGAAAATTTGAAATAATTTTAATATATAATTAAAGGATAGCTTGTCTATTTTGTAAATAAATGTTTTTTTTACTATTTCTTCTTAAATGAACAAAAAAATGTTATTGGATAACATAAAAATTTTATTATTTTATCATATGTATAAGAAACCATCTTTATTCTTTTTAAATGAATTGCCTAGATTCTATTATCCTAGTTTACTTTTTTCAATTGAATTTAAATTTAACAATTATTGTACATATAAAAAGCTAATAAAATAATTCATAATATAATCAAAAAAATGAAAAATAAATTTTACATTTTTGTAATTCTAAGTATTATACCGTAAGAAAATTAGGGATTTTTCGTACGAGGAAATAAAAAAGATCTCTAGTATTGAAATAAGTAGGTTGTCACTATTTTTTATATTAAATATTATGTTTTTTTGACACGGCAGGTGTTTTTTACTTCATATGTTTTGTTCACCTTCAATCATTTTCTAAACACTACAATTTGTTGTAATGTCACTGTCCTCGAAAAAAAAAACAGATAACAAGTGCAAAAACCCACATTAAAAGCAAAAGAAAAAAGATTTTTTTGGAATTCTTGTCGGCATATAAAGAGAAATAACTTTAAAATGCAACGAAAATTTTTGTTGAATTGTCACAGGAATTTCAACTTTTTTTCATTGATCTTGTGTCTGTCCCTAGCCTATTCAATCGTCGTCAACAATTCAAGTTGTCGCGTCATTTTTCTTCTGTAATGTTCAATTATTTCTCTTTTTCTTTATAAAAAAACATTCTCCGTGTTTCTTATCGTGCAATAAATGTAACTGCGAAAAATTTACCGAAAGCTATTTTTAATAAATTCGTATTTTTATTTTAAAGCAGAAACAATTAAGTTACAGATCAACCAGACCAATGAGATTAAAAAAGGGAGAGAAGAATAAAGCTTTTAACTAAACAAACGAATAGTAGAAATGATTTCATATTTATAAAAGATATTACAAGCCATTCTTAATACATGTAAAGATTTGTTGTATAATTTTTTTAATACATACTTATATTTTTTTTAATTAGAATTATTGAAATAATATAAATTTCTTCTCTCTCTTTTTTTCTTTTCTCATTAAATCTGCTTTCCGTGAAGGCCGAAATATGAACCGATGGGCTCTGCAATCTACTGCCGCTCCTACTACGAATAAAAGATTCAATTAAATAATATTGCTTTGAATTATTTTACATCTTATATAAAATTGATTCCTGAAAGCATAAAGTTGTGATATTTAATATATTTGAATTTTCAAAATAGTCTAAACAACTACAGAGTGACTAAACATGAAAACAACCAAGAAAGCTGAACTTATGAACTATTTATTCAAATCGGTGTTCAAGTCTAACTGAAATTATTTCTTTATGGAGCAACCGAAACAATTTATGCTCCGTTAATAAAAAACTGTCTAATTTTTTTATGTATTTTCGTATGATATCTTATAAAACGTACTGCATTCAGTAAATGTTTCTTTCTTTCTTTCTTTATTTGAATTTGTGGTCAACGAATTTGAACTGAAAGTGAAAAAAAAATCCTGTTGAATTTAGAATAACTCCATTTGAGCATTTAAACATTATAAAAAATAATAAATAAATTAATAAAAAAAATAAATAAACATAGAGAAATCCCAAATTTTTTATAATAAAAAAAATGAATACAAAAATTAAAAATGAGTAACAAAGTGTAAAAAGGTACTGTTAAGACGATGAAAATGATTCAAAATAAAAAAAAGAAAAATATGAGTAATTTTTTTTGCTTTGTAACACAATAATTGCATTAAAATTTTATATTATTTTACAGGTTCATTCGAGTGCATTAAACTTGTCAACGTTGTGTCATTACGGCTTTTATGTGAAATTTCATGTGATGAATACCCTCTCATTTCAATATAAAAGATGAACTATTTAATACAATATGAACGTCATTAAAACAGCGGGGTGTTGAAGGAGATTCAAAATTAAGCAAAGAGATCAGCAGGATGCTTCATAATATTTTGATTGAACTTTGAAATTCATTAGCTACTGTTATTGTTGTCAATTTTATTCTTAGGACATTCCCTTTTTATGTATTCATAGCACAAGTATAAAATAATCTCATTCAGAAAATCCATTGAAGAGGAATTATTTTCCCTCTGATCTTAATTCATTGAATATGTTGTTGTTCACTTATGAAGTTATTTCATATAATTATGGGAAAAACTCTAGTTATGAATATTTCAGTTTACAACTTTGTTGCATTTTTATCTGCAAGTCCATAGAGTTCATGTATGTTTAATGAAAAGAACCTTCTTTATTGCTGAAAGGTCAATCAAAAAGCATTATTCATTTTTTAAGCAAATGTTTTACAGGTCAAACAAATTGTCTTTTATTTAATTTATTTTAATAGGGTTCAATTTAGCAGATGTGAAGCATAAAATCATCACTCAATTTAATTTTATCACAAAGTCTCCTTAACTACATGCATAAATGTAAAATAAAAATAATAAAAAAAAATCTCCACAAGCATCATGATCAAAATGATAAATGATAAACGTTTCAATCTTTGTTTAAAATATTAAAGTGAGTATAAATGGAAATAGAAGACTTTATGAAGTTTAATATGAATTAAATTAGTTTATTTATTAACAATATAATTTAACAAGCAGTTATATTTGCGACAATGATATGTGTCTCTTTAAGGCCAACGAGGCCTTTTGCGAAAACTGTAACACTGGAAATACTTTCCTGTGTTTTTACCTATACAATATAGTTAAAAATACAGCCCACCCCCCCAACCTCTTCTAAAAAGTGTTTGTTTACATAAATATAATCCTATTACAAATTATTTATAAAGTACTACAAATTATTTATAAAGCTACTAAAATCAAAATCAACTATGAGTAATAAATCAAGAGTTTATAAAAAAATATATTGATATTTTTAAAAATAAAAGAAAAAAAGATAAAAAATATCAAAATAAAGACGTTTGCAATCATTCCTAAACAATTAAAGTTAAAATACGAACGTCATTTGTAAAATACAAAAAAAATCATACGGAAAAAGAGAAACAATAAAAAGAAACAAGTGGGTGAATTAGATTTTTTTATTCATAGAAAAAAATCTCCATAAATTTTTCAATTCTTGATTTCAAAAAAAAAAGAAACAATCATAAATTTGAATGAAACCGCATTCTTCACTGGAAATCGTTAAAAATGTATAAAGAGCGGAATTAATAAAAAAATTATACAAGGAAAAAAGATTTTTTTAGTTTAACAATAGAAAGGAAAGGAAATGCTCATAAAACTTGTTCTGAATGTATTTCTCTGTTTCAGTTCGAGGGCGTTTTCTGCTTTAGTTCTGATTGTTATACAATCGAGCTATAAAAGACTCGTTGAGAAATTGCATTTTTATACTATGGTAAAAAGTATTACATATGTGTACAAATATGTACATTAAAAATATCAAAAAAGGATTACATATAAAGGATTTTAAAACTCTATGAAATTTGAAACTTCAGCTTCACATTTATTTATTTATTCAGTGAATGAAATTAAGAGAATTTTTCTTTTGTATTACACTTATTAGAGGTGTATAATTTTTTGACACGGGCCTAATACTAAATAGGTAAGTAAGCATCTGCTCCTGAAAACGATTGGTAAACATTTTCAATTCCAAAGTTTTGTCCGTCATTTTAAGTTGAAGGCTTTATTAAAACATGGTTTAGAGACGCAACATGATAATGGAAATTACATGAGATAACCTTCAGTTTTTACACTTCAAATTTTGTATTTATCGTATTTATTATTCTTTTAAGTTTATAAAATTTTTTTCTTATAAATTAAAAATATGCTTTTGTAACGTCTTACCCTGTGTCTTACACAAAATCAAGATTGAAGTACACTTGAATAGAATGAAATGGCACATTGAAAGAACCTTCTTTCCTATACATCCATAGAGCAAAAATATAAGAGGAGTGGTAGCTCGTTTTTAGTGATTTCCGGACGTTTTATGTTTCATTGAAGAACAAATGTGTTTTTCTTTTTCGTTTATTCTCTCTTATTTATAAAAAAAAAAAACAAAAACCTTCTTAAAGTTTCCATCAGCTGACGTTTTAAACACACTGACACATGATTTCATTCTTTTTTTATTTTATTATATATTTAAATACTTTTATGTTTGATGAACAAGAAGAATACAGAAAATTCGCTTTTACTTTCCAACAAATTGGATGCAAATTATTATTAACATTCCCGACTTTTGATTTGTGTTAGGGAAACCTAAATAGTAATTATTATGCCAATGTAGCACACTTTATAACGTTAAAAAATTATTTTTTTCAGGACGACAAAGTTAAAAATGATTTGAAAGGAACACAAATTAGCAGTTTCAAATTTCCTAAACTTGTGCTCACACTTTTTAAATGTACTACACGTTTATAAATCTTTATAAACATATCATTAAAAAATGTGATTATCAAATATCAATAAGCTATCGAATGTTTTAAATCATAATTGTTCTTGAATAATGTTTGGTGTCATGCAATTATTTAGAATAATCAACATAAATGACAAAACCAAATCAAATCTCAACTAGATTTTTAGCGCATCATTAATGAATTCCAAATCCATTATTAAGTTTTAATAGCTACTTGTATAAAAGAAAAACATACACTTTGTAATAATAGTAATAATTAATTCGTTAATAAAATATTATTTTTTTTTTATTACTGTACATTTAAATTTGTTTTATTTTAATTCGTTATTTAACACAATTTAATAATTAGTCAAATTTTAACCGGAAGTTGAAGATTTTTTGTCAAGTGTGCAGAATATTGCAGAGTTATGCCTTGCTGCAAATATCATTGACTTTATTTTGTAACTCATGTTTCTTAACATCAATTAGTGTTGCATTCACTCGATTAAAGCATGTCTTAAATGCATTATTATTTGCATCTACTGCATTCACAATATCAAGACCAATTTGCGATATTTGTTTTCCAATATCCAAAATAGTTGGAAAAAGACTTTGACAGTACTAATAAAATAATGAAAAAATTAATTACAATGAAATCATAATAAAAATAAAGTTTTAATTTATTCTTACTGAATTAAATTTTTCAGCAGCTAAGTCCGTTTGCACCGTTGTTGAATATACCCAAATATACCAAAATGGCTCTTTTAGTTTATAGCTGATCGTTTTCACTGTCAAAGTGAGATTATCTTGATAAGCTTTGAATTTAACAGGTTGTATAGGACTTGACAAAGAAACATTTTTAAGACATTCCATAAACTTTTTTGAACTTAGATCTATAAATGACTTTATTTCTCCTTCTAGATCCATAACACAGCCCTTACCATCATTAAAAAGATTTTTAGAACCAACTCCAACTTTATCTATGAAATCGTAAACGTACATAATGAAGTCATACAGAATATTTGAATGATCAATTTTTGCGTCTTCTAAAGATGATTTCACTGAATATAATACGTTTTTCCTGACAATATCAATGAAATTATTCATTGCATGAATTATATTTGAGCCAACATCTATAGATTGATATTTACATAAATCTGTTGGCAACTCATTTTGTAAAGTTTTGAGACTTCCTAATAAAGTTCCAATACTTTTTAATTTTTCACCAAGGAATGTATTGTATTGAGCTCTTAAACTCGTTTCCATTAAACTTCCTGCATCTTGTATATTTGTTAACAAAATGTGAATGTCATTAATTTTGTCTGAACACGAATTAGAATTATAAACTAGGAGTAAAATTATAATTAATATATTGAAAATTTTGACCATTACTTCAAAATAAATTTGAACTCAAACTGATGATTAAACAGTACTTTATTGAAATACACGTTTTCTTTTAGTGAAAAATAATTTTACTTTTACATTAACTATCGAAAAAAGCTGACATGTATTGAGAAAAACACTTGAAAAAACATAGACTAAAAACGCTGTTTCACTAAGATGAACCTAGTAATAAATATCGTTAATAACATTTATTTAGTCTCGATTAAGATAGAAACGAGAAAAGTTTTTAAACAATATTAATTTTTTGTTAATATAATGCATTTAGCAAATTTTTTTATACTGGTAGTAAATGTTTTTTTTATAATCTTCACTGTATTTAATACTAACAATTATAATTGCAGAATATTTTTTATATAGTCAGTTGTCAAGACAATAACGAAGATGGGCCAACGTCTACTAGAATAATTTACGATATTACCACTACAACAATTATTCCTCATAGTCCAGAAAACACAGAGAAAACCACAACTAATGTCGTTAATATAAACTTTGATACACCTGAAAAAGTCACTGCTGAGATAAATGAAGCTTTTGATGATTTAAGTAAAACTGTTAATGAAACTTTATCAAATTTTAATACAGCCACAAGAGATAAATTTGATGATGAATGTGGACATATATTTCGGGATCTTGAAAGAGAAGAGTTGTATAATTTATATCAAGAAGATTGCACAGTTGATCAATTGACTGTATATGAAGAGTTTCAGACATCTCTAGATGGAGTAATAAAATTATATGTTGATAAAGAACATCCGAATATTGAAAAAGCGTTTAAAGAAGTTTATAAAAAATGGATTGAACCATTTAGAAGAGATGTAGAAACTAATTTAGTCACACCAATAACCTCTGCTTTAAGATTCCCAAGAGGACATCAAGATAAATACATTTCATGCTCAAACCAATACACTCCACAAATTTTAAAACTAATAGAAACGGCATTCACAAATGTTCTAGATTGCTACAATATGACTATTAGTTATCAAGATACAACAAAATATGCTGATCTGATAGCTGCTCTTTATAAGGACACCGCCGAGAAATTCACAATATGTAATCAAAATTTGGACTGTTTTAAAAAAGTAAAAATGTTTTATTTCAATATAAATTTTTATTTATATTAATCGGATTTTAATTTTAAACTGTTTTAGTATTGTCCAAAAACTCATCTTTTGGTTTTAAAAACAACAGCACAGGCAGTTGATGCAATGAGTTCAATAGTCAGAAATTTTCAAAAAGAAGTTGAATTGATTCCAAAATGTGCAAATAATAAATTCAACAATGCTACCTATTTAAAAACTAAAGAAGAACTTCGTGTTGCTATGTTACTCTGTCTCAAATAGTTTTTTAAAACAAAAATGTAAAGATGTTTCTTGAAATATTTCAATAATTCTCCATAGCCAGCAATTTTCTCAGAGATGCCGTAGATGAAATTTAATTAGACACTTACTTAAAGCTCATATTATGATAAAAATTGTCGAAATAAAATAAGATTAATCATAAAGATATCTTAGTCTTTTTTTATTAAATTTTATTTTAAATCTCATCGTGACATTATACAAACATACATTATGTACACAGATGACCGTGATTGCTTCAAATTGAACTTAATTGATTCTTCCTCTTTCTCTTTCAGTTTACTGGCTTTGACACAAAGATATTTTATTTGAAATGTGACACAAATCTGTATTATGTATTATGTAAATTTAAATGAAACCTCGTGCACATTTTCATATGCGTTAATTTAGTTTAATTCTTTTTGTGATGTTTACCAAAAATCACATGAGTTTCAATTAAGATAAATAAATTTTTCTAATACGCTTATCCTCATTGTTTTTTCAAAAATAAGTATGGCATATAAGTGAAAAATAAAATACTTTGTGATCTTTTATTTTTGAATTTCCATTAAATCGTATTACAAATAAAAATTAAAGTCAAAAACAGTATATTCAGAACAATAAAAAAAAGTACTTGAGAAATCCTGAATACGAAGAATGAAATGCAAGTGATTTTTCAAGTATTACTTGTACACATGCTTCACTTCCTTTAAATTACTCATTGTATGACAATTGAAAATAGACTTTTGTTAGGATTCTTATAAGATTATAACAATACACACTTATTTATATATATATGTGTGTGTGTGTATGTTTCATTCAAAAATATTTTATTTTCTGAGCAGATGATTATCATGATGCAAAGGCATTGAAGAGAACCATATCATTAACGGTCATTAAAGACAGAAGTCCCATCGATCGCAATAAATGAGGAGACGATTATTACTTTTATTAATATTTTAAAAAACTTGATCTAGCGATGTCCTTAGAGGATGAAAATTTAACGTAAATAAAGAGAAATAGATATCCAAAAATATTTTATATTTTTTTTTTCATCTTTACCTATTTGATCAAAAGCCGACATTTCCGATTATCATGAAACGCTACTTCTTCCCTATAATTATTGTGGCGCTCCATCACATATAACAACAGTTAATGCTTAATGGCATGTAAAAGTCTACATTTCTTTTGCATTCATTCTCCCCATCATATACAATGGGGATTTTTAGACGACGAACCTTTTTAATTATACAATATTAGGAGGTATATCTGTTATCAAAAATGTGGTCTTGAATGCAATACATAGTACACACCTATTACTAATACTACTCACATTAATAAAATTTGATAATAATCTTTATGTTAATTTTAGTTTATTTAATTTCATACTAATGAAATTTTATAAAAGTTCATTGATAGTAAAATGTTTATCTAATAGTGAAATGTTCCGGTTGAATACAGAATAAAGTAAAGCGGCTTTATGATGAATAATTGAAAACATTGCGAGTTGAAAATTAATTAAGGTGCGAAATCCACATTCTAATATATAATTATCGACACATTTTGATGAGAATTTTGTTTTGTTTCAGAGTATTTCTCTTTCTTTTGCAATACTACCACCACTCACCTTCAATGTAAATGCATATTTAAAAATACATTCGGAACTTTTAATTAAAAAATGAATAAATTGAAGAAAATTTTATTTTAAAAATCAAATGCATAAGTAAATGTAATATAAGTTCTAATAAGAAATATAGCTGCAACAATATAAACTGACTAATTGCCACTCCCCGTAAAAGAAGTGTATACACCGGTATTTTTAAAAAAACGCCATTTTGAATATCATAAACATATTTTAATCATTTTTTCTTCAGTGTTTATCACGTTTACCGTTTGTATATTATTCAAATTAACTTTATTAATTAATTATTACTTAATTTTTTGCAATTCTTAATCAATTTTTTAAATTATTTTTTAGATACATTTTTCAGTTTATTAAAATTTTGACATTTGAGAGAAATTTATTTCATTTTTAACCATTTATTGCCATTTCTCACTTTTATGAGACAGTCATTGTTTAGACATATATTATGTTTAAAGGTATACTGAAAAAAATGTTGTTAAATTTTATGATCAAAATCAGACTCGCATCATATATTGATTTCATTGTTTTTTCCTCACTCGATCAACAACAAAGCCTATAATTTTATCAACGTGAACACAACAAAAAAGTCGCAAAAGGTGATGAAGTTTCATACATATATAGTTTGAAATAAGCAATTTTTGTACAGTGAATTTTTCATATTTATTATTATTATGAGTTTCACTTCAAACTTTAACATTGCGATTCTGGAATCGTCTAGATCTTATGTGTAATTATAGTAAAGCATTTTATTCACTTCATGACAATTTTTTTTGTATTTTCAAATTTTATAAATGTGTTGTGAAATACACATTGTCGGCAACATGAGCTCATGTGTTTTAGTAAAATTGCATTAAACTTTAATCATTGAATTCTTTGTGTCTTTTGAAATAAAAAAAAAATGTTTTCTTTTGCTATAAAATTTGAATTTGGCCATTAAGTTTAAAAAATTTATCATGTAGTAAACCTAAATCAAGATTTCATCCATCGATAAATAGTTGACAATTACTATTTTTAGTGGCTTTCATGGAACAATCATTTAATACCCGCAAGATATAAACAATGAAGGTTTGGTTAGGTATATGTACTTTTTTAACTCTTCATTTTTCATTTCCATATTTTTCTCTTTACACTTTTTATATTTCGAATATGGGTACATGCATATAACATGATACCTATATGAAATATTCAAAATGGAACATATCATATTTTTTCATTATTATATATTCTTTCAAGTTTTTGCGAATGCTTTTAAGCCAACAGCATTGAATTTTAAAGTAGATCGAGAATGCATAAACATAAAATAAATGCCGAATATAAGAAATAAAGAAATATTAAGAAAGAGTTGAAAACCGGCATATCGAAAAAGGTAAAAATGCTCAAGTATAAGGCATGTATTGAGTTAAATAAGATTTATTGCATTTATATATTATATATATAAAAAATTAACATGGCGAAATCGATCTTTCTTTTGGAGTTTGTTCTCAAAATTGAGATCTTATCAATATCTTTATAATTTCGTTTTCGAATATTTTGAAATATGTAATTCTTCAAGCGATTTTATAGCTATGCTTTTCATTGGTTGATACCTTAAAATGTTAGCCTTTTTATAGAGTCATTCTAATTTATTACTCTTTTAAAGATTTGTTATTCATACCGAGCCGTAATGAAACCAAAATCTGAGTTGATTAGAAAATGGTGGTATGAAATTCTGAATAAAATAATTTATTACAATTTATAGTCTTTCAAAGGTTTTAGAAAAATGAAGGATAATGTAATCATTTCACACTATAACACAAATCATTACGATTAATTATTTAAATTAATTTAATGATATTTCCGATTGCATGGTCATCAATAAAAAATTGTGTGTACGGAAACTCGCTTTTGCTTTTTATAATCTGTCGCGCGTTTTCATCCCCCACTTTTTAACAAAAATATTACCTTCATTTTCAATTATTATAAAATATGCATGAATCAAATTATGACCATAATCATTTGATTATGACAACTTTTTTATTCGATTAATGCTAAGCTTTAAAGACTTCAAATAAAATAGAATTTTCTTTTTTTTTATAAATTTTCGATTTGGTTTAATTCTTGGACGACAACAAATGAATATTAAGGGTAAAAATCCCAAATAAAGAAAAATGGATTTAATTTTCATTTCAGTCATTCCGCTGGTTATATTCACAAACAATGGCATGCTATTATAGAAATGAATAATAAATTTTATTGACAGTTAAGTTAACTGATTGGATATGAATATTTATACATATGTGTCATATTAATTTTAGCTTTATTTTTACATTTCATTCCATTTAACGTATATATTTTTAAATTTTACGAACAAAGTTTTATATGTAAATTTTAAGATTTTTAATATTATTACATTTTGTTATTAAGCTACACAATTTTATGCCGAAAAAAGATAAAATACAAAAAATTCAAAATTTTGCATTGAAAACTTTAATTTAAAATTATTATTTACTGCGCATGATTTCATGAAAGATTGTTTATTCATTCTCCATTGTATTTTTTCGTGTAGAAATAAATTTTTCGTGTACATATATATTATGATAGAGATGGAATTGTGAATTGTACAATGTGAAAAATATATTCATATTTTTTGCATGCAATGTCGAATGTTTTTATTTTTAATTTTTGTTTAATACTAGTCACGCATCTGAGACTCTTTTAGTTATTTCATACAACAAGAAGACATCTATGTAGATTCTGTTACCTTTAATGGGTAGCAAATCTTTTGAGATTTTTCAATGCTGAAAAATATTCTTAAAATATTAGAGTTTCAATACATTTTTATCTTATATATTTGTATTTTTTTTAAGAAAATGAAATAGTCTGACTATTTTTTAAATATTTCTTGAGCTATAGAAAGTCGTTGCATGTCAAAATCGTCTGGTTGTGATATGAAAACAAGCTCCTCATTATCTTTTCTTTTATTCCATCTTTAACTTTTATTTTTCAATCGCTGATGAATGCATATGATTATTCAAGGCAAAATATCATGTATTAATATGCGGATAAAATTATGTTCCTCTATGCTTAAATCAAAAATCTATAAAAAATTTGGCAATTTATTTTAAATGAATCGATGCAAACCATACAAAATATGTTTGGTTCCAAGCTCTGGTTTCAAACTATACAATCATTTTTAAGTTTTACTTCTTTGAACAAGATTTTTATGTGTTTTTTCTTCTTAATTTTGGTATCCTTCACGTCACAAAATTTCCATTTTCAATTTTCTCTTTCTCAATTGAAGGAAAAGAACCAAAAACATTCTGCTGCTGCTGCTGCTGCTCATATGTTCCTACATTATTATATTTTTTTCTGAATTCCAAATCGTCATTAAATTTAATAATTAGGCTCTCCATCTCTTTCCCTTATAATGTGTTTTTATTCTTGTTCCTTTTTGTTTTATTTTTTGTATCTTTGTCTCAACTAAATGTGAAAAGATGTATTCCTGTTATAATCTTCTCATTTTGTTAGTTCTCTTGGTCAATATTC